AATGGCCTTAAGAATGGAGGAGCACCTGAAAACAAGAGGCATGTCAATAAAAATTATGATTGCTAATGAGCTAGGACAAGATTTCAAGCAAAAGCTAAATAGCAAAGCGTTGCAGTGTATTTTTTACGTTCTGGATAATGTTTGTGCTAAGGCACAGCTGTTGATACATGGTGAAAGATGCATTTACTCAAGATTTGGTTCTCTCTACTAATTAAGAGTAATGATAGGACATTGGTTCGCGTTTGCTCTGTTGACTGCAGTGGGTCCGGGGCAGACAAGCAGAGACGAAAAGTAACGGGATCCTAATCTGACCTGGTGGAGGGCCAGGAGGTGGACCAGAGGGTGGCCCGGGAGGCCTCATCGGTGGAGCTGGTGGAGGACCCATCGGTGGAGGCCCAGTCATAAGTGGACCCTGCAAGGGTGGGGGCTGTCCCACCGGCCCACTTGGAGGGGGGAGATGCTGACTGGCAATCAGTTGGGACGGGTCCCCCGCTGACTCCTTGTCTTCAGCGTCGTCAGAACTATCCGATTCATCGCTGTACTCTTCCTCGACTTCTTCTTCGTCCTCTTCAGGAATAGACTGACCTGAAAGGAGAGAATATCTCCAGGTCACATTATTTACAGAGCTAACTAAGGCTGAGGAAAGAACATCCGCACGTGTTCAATATACAAACCTGCCATCCTTAACATCATCGCCTGCAGAGGCGTGATGGCCTTGGTCTTCTTCCCAGACTTCTTTTTCTTTTTCGTTCCATCATGGGATGCATCTGAAGGCATGTCTGCAAAGCGTACACTGCGACCTAATTTTCAGTAGAAAGTCAATATAACATTTTAGTATCAGGGCACAAACTTACTACAAACCGTTGCAAATCACCCAGAAAAAGAAATATTCTACAAGACTTAATTATTTCAGGCAAAGTGAATTTCGTTTTGATAACTCCAGCAGAACTGACAACCGTTATTGGTAGACTTTACATTTAATGGCATACAGGAATCCCTCGCCACTTGGTGCTTCACAGCCTCACTGAGTCGCGGGTTTTCCCAAAATACTGCAGCAAGGTAAGAGTTGTTTTCCTCACAAAAAAAGACCATTGGCTGAAAAAAAAAAAAAATTAATAATAATAAAGAAATCGTAAACCTATTTCAACTAATAAGATGACAAGATGAATATCATATTGCTACCATTACCATGTTTTTCCGGTCCCCATTAGCTGTGAAAAACGAGGGATTACTGTATATCTAATCAAGCAGTTACAATCAACTAAAAAAATGGAAACTCTCAACAGCCTTTCACCTTTATCCTCAGCTCTCTTCTCATGTCTGTCTCCCTTTCTCGAGTCGCCATCTTCATCCCTCTCATCGTCACTGTCTTCCTCAGAGTCACTGTCATCATCGTCCAAATCATCCCTGTCGCTCCCACTGCCACTGTCCTGATTTCTTCCCAAGTCTGCTGACTCCTTCTCTAAGCCAGGAATTGAGGGTTCTATTCAGGCAGAAAAACAAAAAATTAAAAAGAACATTCTAGTTAGTAAAACAAACTAAACATCCATTACCCAAAATGTTTTTAAAAAAAGCCATTTATGAAGACAAAGTGATGAGTTATGTCTTACCAAATTCAGTGCCGTAAGGCCGCCGTGAAGGAATACCATACAGTGCCAAAACTTGTGGTGGTGGGGGCCCAGGTGGAGGCCCGGGGGGTTTCCTCCCAGGGGGTAAACGTGGCACAGGGGGCAATGTTGGCAACATTAGGCCAGGCGGTAAAGGTGCTTTACTGTGGGACACACATCAATGAATGGTGGCATTTCAACAATCTTGATCAGTTGGTTCAGGGTGCCGATGTCCATAAGCAAGTTTTTAATTCTTAATCAATCTTTTTTTTTCTCAAGAAAATGTGGGTTTCTGGACAAATTCAGTGGTTATGTACAAGATTACCAAATCAAAGATTAAAGATTAGAGCCTACCCAAAAAAGGAGCCCTTCTTCAGGATTGAAGGAGGCTGAGCCCCTGGGAGAGGGATGTCCTGAATGTGGATATTGGATGGTGCGTGTGGCATATCTGGTAAAGGAATACTGTCAACCTCCACAGATTCTGCATTCTGAAAGGAAAGAAAACATTAACAGTGTTGCTGTAAACAAAAACATAACATGGCCTTAATTGACACTTTTAATGTCACTCCTATGAAGTTTGACAACTAGAAAATAAAACATGCTGCTCATTGCATGTTTGACCAAGTAGAGGTAAAGCATCATCTCATTCAAAGGTAAAAAAATAAAATAAATATACAAACCTTGACTGAATCAAAATAGAGTGCCAGCTGTCCCCGTTTACTCTCATATTCTAGTTCCAATTTGCGCAGATCCTTGTAGGTTTCAGGATTCTCCCGCTCATACAGACGAACAATGCGTTCAAATGTCTCCCGTAGCTTCTTCCGCTTGTCCCTCAGCACTTTCTCATTCAGCAAGGGCTGCTGGACTGGGTTGAACTCTATTGCAGAGATCAAATAACACCTTAAGTTTCGAATGAGTTTTGGAGTTAGACCACAGTGAATGTGCAAGAACCATAAAGAACCACACGAGACAAGAGCTAAGCAATATTAATAGTACAAAAAAAGTCTCTCACCCATCTCATCCAATTTCTCCATGTCTCTGATTATCTGTCTGGGGTCCTTCATCTTAAGCACCGCTGCTCTCACCATCATTCTCTGCTTTTTATTCTACAAATAAAATGAATAATAAGACGGGCATATGGTAAGAGAATTGCCTTCCAAATGATTTAAAAATACAATAAATATAATATTACCTTTTTTAACTCCCTTTTCCTGGCTTCTTTTCCTGTTTGTGGAAAAAAGGGAGGAGGGGGGAGTGGTACGTGTTCATTATTATGATAATCTAGTCACAACAAACAGCTGGTTTATTTACAAAAATAGATTCTGCTGGGAAGTACTTACTGGCCTGATCCGTGGGGTTCATGAATTTCCCACTCTTGGTGGAGGAAGTTGAACGTCGCCCCATTGTGATGCTGTGCTCCTTTTACCTTAGGAGGCATTGAAATCCGTCAGGGGTGACATATGAAACTACTAGCTTCCATCTATATGCACTTAAACCACATATGTTTCCTACAGCACTAGATCACAAATCCCATGGAGGTACATTCACAAATTAATATAGTAATAGACAGAGCATTAAGATTGTACACATTGAAGTGTACTGTTTCACAAACTTCGCGATCAACCGACGAGTGAACATTTTAGCACGATCTGTGAAGCACAATGCGCTAAAATTAATCGGAAACAGAGCATATGCAGGCTGTTTTAATTTAAAAACTCATCGCACTCATACGATGCTGGGAATTAGCCTAAGAGCTAATATTAGCCTGCACTTCTAGCTAGGGCCGCGTTAGCTTCAACAACAGAGAATGCACAGAATTTACCTTAGAAAGAAGAAAACTAGTAGTAGCAGTTTTGCCCTACACAGACGACTTCGTGTATCAAGGTTCAAACGCGGTATTTTGCTCAAGCCACATAAAAGAAACTTAGAGCCCTCGTGACTGAATGGAACACAACCATTTTAGCTCGCCATGTTAGCACTCTCAGCCGCGAGCAAGACCGGAAGTCGATCATATGACGTCAAGACAGCGGTGGGAACCAAAGCGTTGTGTCTGAGAAAATAAACATCGCGTTATTAATACACTAAAAATAAAATAAAATAAAATAAAATAAACGCCGACTCTCTTTTGGCGTAAATTAAACTATATTGTCGTTTTGATCTTGATGTTGAATTCAACAAGATTATTCTTTTACCATGACGTGTCCCACTCAAGCAAATAAAGAGTGTATTTCATATTTCTTTCAAAATTGCTTTATTATTTTAACACTGGCAAACAGCCTGTACCAAAATGTACATTTTCTTTCAACGGATAAAAGAACAATTTTTACCCCTACAAAATGCTCCATGGATTGAGGAACGTGAAAAAAAGTACTCAGCAGAGGGCGACATTTCACCGTCTTCTACTGTTTGTATAAATACATACATAAAACTACAATATTATTTTTTATTGCCACGAACCAGTTTTGGTTCGCAGAAAACCTGCTGACCTACATATATCCAATGACACTAATAAACAAAAATTAAGCACACGTTGGTGATAAACTGGCGTAGGCTAATGGTCAAAGGTGTTCCTACACCACCAGCCCACTTTAAAAAAAGATATTTACTGGATTGCTTCGTCTATAGACTGGATTAGGATTTTGCTGTCTTCAGGGTGTCAGAAAACTGAGTTTTCAAGAAGCCTTCTCACTCCAGCAATTGGGAGATTCCTGCAGACTATGAGATATGTGGGATTGGTAAACTAAGCCAAACATATGTCGAAATGGAAATATCTCATTGTTGACATCTTGTGGCTGCAGATTATTCCATAAGCAAATGAAAGCAAAGTTATATACGGCAAGCAATACAGTTATATGCAATGGGACCACATTGTGGCCTCGTGGTTAGGCCCTCATGTGTGGAGTTTGCATGTTCTCCTGCACTTACGCCAGCTTGCACCTCCATGCCAAAAACCATGCATGGAAGGTTCATCAAAGACTCTAAACTGCTCACCGGAGTGAACGTGAGTATGAATGGCTGTTTGTCTATATGGGCCCTGCGATTGTCTGCTGACCAGTCCAGGGTGTGATCCCACCCAGCCTGAGATAAGATGGATGACTATATCGCATGATACTGTATACTGTAAGTGTTACGGTAAGACTTTACACAGGAATATCAAACTACATAGTCCAACTGAAGGTTAGGCTATATCAATGAATGTAAATCACTTTAAACTGTACTGTAAGCCATAAAATTACAGCACGTCTTCCATTTGGAAGGCGATCGGAATTGGGGGGGGTAATATTTGATAAAAATAATATAAATAATGTGAAGTTACATTGGCATCCACATACGTATATTTCTATAATATGTAAACTTTATCACATGAGGAATAATGACACAACACACACATTTATTTTCATTATTTTTACTTATTCATCACACTACTCTACAGGCTGAAAGAGGTGATCGAATCATAGAGACAAATGGGCCGGCCGGTCTGTACAGAATTGAAAATTAAATTCATATATCGGTGCTACTCCTCCAGCACTGCTCTCACATTTTTTTGGTCAAAACACTTTTGGAATTGTTTTCTCGTGTTATTTAGATAGAAAAGGGGGTTAACTTGAAAGAGGCAGGTGATAATAAAATGCAACATCAAGCCATTTATGCCATGACAAGGAGTCGACTGTTGTGATTTGGCGTCTAAAAAGGAACGGGTCCGTAGTAGGCGTTGTAAGCAGCGACGACTCCATCGGTGTCCATCATGTGGTCGCAAGCCACGTTGGACTCGCAGACTTCTCTCAAGCTGATTGAAGACATGGAAGAGATATGCTAGTCCACATAGTATCGACCAAAGACATTCATAAAAGCTACTGGAGGTGATTATGTGTGACTTTTCTCCACCACCAATGTTGGTCGGTGGCTCGCAAGTACCATACCTCTCCACCTGGGTCAAGGACAGCTCGACAGTTGCTCTCCTGGGCGGCACCACTGCAGCGGCCTGTGACCTATCCACAAACACTGCGGCACACCAAGCACATTGAAACACAACTTTACTTCTTTGTCTACTTGGTAAAAAATGACCAAGACATCCGACCCGACTGATCAAACAAACTAAATCATAGTAGCATACATTAATTAAAGGAGAACAGTATCGTTATGTTCATTTTATGGGGTCATAAAACAAAATGTTATCTGTTGTCATTTGCCGAGAAAACACCGTGAGCACAATGTTAGATTTGTAGACACAAATATGTCATTAAGTAGCTGAGGTGCTAAAATGTGAACTCGTGACCTTACCCGGATGGCGCTGATTGTTGTAGCGGTCGCCATTGTTGTTGTAGCGGTCACCGTTGTCGGAGCGGTCGCCGTTGGAGCGGTCGCCGTTGTAGCGGTCGTCGTAGCGGTCGCCGTTGCGGTCACCGTTGGAGCGG